TACTATGGCGGAGGGATCGTGATCATGTGAACTCGGTGGAGTTGGACTAGCCCCATTAGGTCAGATCATCCCACCTGACGGGAAGTTTACTACGGGCCAGTATGATTTTGGCCGTTTTAATTGCCTTTTGGTATACCTTGACTATTTGTTTGCTCTGTCAAAAGAGAAACCTAAATCTGTTATGGTATATGCTGGTACATTGTAGGAACAATTTTTATAGCTGCACATTTAGCTAAAACAACTTGAACTGCAGTAAATTTCGTTTACAATCATGCAGATATCCTTTTTTCAACTACGGCTATAATCAGGCCACCATTTCATGATCAAATTTTTAAGGTGACTCACGTTATAGCTCAGCTAGTGAAAAATTCAGTAGGTTCAAGGATTTCCTTGTGTGCAAGGTTTCAGGACGTATCAAAGTAACTGTTATTACATACTTTTGAAGTGGTCGGAATGCTATAGAAAAGATAACTTGATGAATATGCTGTATGATTTCTTACCTCTGTTCCTATCTTTGCGTTTGAATTTATGCCCTCTATTCTTTCGAACTTCACTTCCTTTCCTGGGACGATGATTTTCCTTCAATTGCAAACCATTCATAGTCATCTGTGGCGATTCATAGATTCTGGGAGAATCCTTTAACCATCTGTATGCGGAATTCGGCATTCTCTCATCACTCAGGCTAGATGCTCTACTGTTGGTGCTACTTTTTGATTTTCGAAGCTCCAATGTTTTCGTCCTTTTTGCTCGGATTACTGGTCTTCCTTTCAAGGGCTGATTTATTCTATCCATACTCTGATCGCTCGCCTAAAGGAGTTTCCTTACAATTTTGAACTGAATCCATAGAAAGATTATTCCTCTTAGGCTCAAAGCAGTCAATAAATATTCGAAAGAAAGGATGATGTTTAAATCAACGATTCAAAATATGTTCGCCTTTTCAACTATGCAACTTTCGAACTTTTGCATAATCAAATTATCCGTTATAAAATTTGTTCTCTACCATTTTTAATATTACGATTTGAATTCATAACCAATTTCTAAACCATTCGTATTACGGCACTCGAATATTGGCGCTTTTGAATGTTCAACTATTCGAATCAAGGAAAATACATTTTCTCGCGGAGCATATAACCCAAAGACATGCTCTCTATCCCTAGAGGTAACAATTAAAGGTGCGAGCCATCTTGGATGGATATGGCAACTTTCCAAATTGGCTTATATCAGTCTGTACCGCAATCCAGATGCACTTGATCATGAGAGTTAGAGAAGACAAAGAGGAAAAAGAAGCAGGTGGAAAACATGGCAGAAATTTGTTCCATAACACAATATTGTTGTGAGAGGTTTATATAGAAAAATATGGAAATACAATATGCAATCGCCATTGTAAGTTGAAATTTCGAATAATTGCAAGATATTAAATAAAATGAGCCAAATAATTTTAAATATATATATATATATATATATATATATATGCTTCCGGTACTTTAAACATTTACAATGGTATTGCTATGTAATGCCACTCACATCTCTCGTACAGCACCTCTAAAGAGGTTTCAAGTGATAAACAATGTATTGCAAGCTCTCCAACATATCTTTTTATTTAATAAAACTGTGTGCAATTTCTGCTCGTTTCTTTTTCCCGCCTTTTAAACGTCAGCATATGGTTCATTTCTTCCTTTTGTAAAAGGCTTTCATTTGTGTACGCACGGCTTGGATTAACATACGCCAATTGACGGCGCCATGGGTGCAGCCGCACCCACCTTTTGAAACGTTGCCAGACCCATTCGCGATGGTTCGCGCCTTTGATTGCCACCTCCGAGGATAGGCGGTATGTCATTGGGACCTCCTGCTATGCCGTCCTCAGCCCCATCAGTACTGGCAGTTCATTTGTGCGCTGTCAACAACCGGAAGAGCAAGAAGTGCACTGCAGGTCCATCCGTTAAGGGAGAACGTTCGGCTGTTCTGATTGTGAAATTTTCCGCCCATAAAAGACCAATTCCGATCACGTTCAAGAAAAGAAGCCTTTCGATTACCGATTAAACACACTAGTCCAAGTCAACAAGGACAAGGCCCCTCGCCACAGTACAGGCTTATTATTTGACTATATTCCTCTTCCCTCTATATCACTATGTTATTCTGCAATTATGCTTATATGCTTACGGGAATACAAGAGCCAAGCGCGCACTCCATTCTGAAAGGAACAGGAAGTGGACTTGTTAGCTTGGAGCCACTGCTTACGTCGTGTGGTGAACTGCTTCATCCGAAAATCGCTTTTAGCTAAAGCCTCTCAGCAACTAGCACATGCCTGCCTTTCGAATATTCAATTATCTAAATAATGGTGTAATTGGGAAATGCGCTTATTCCTTCATTCGAATAGTCGAACATCCAAAAATGCCACATTCGACTGCTGTAGTTTAAATTGTTTGGAAATTGAGAATGAATTCAAATAGTTGAATATCGAATGACAAATTTTCGTAATCGAATAATTTGCCTAGCAAAAAGCCTGCCGTTTTGCTAAGATCTCTCGTAACGAAAAGTGACTGCCGAAGCATGTGATGGGAGCTGTGAGAAGCGTTGGGGAAAATAGCGTCAATCAACGTCACTCGTCGTTTGCAATTGAAGTCTCCTGCGAACCACAGGCTTCTAAAAACTAGAAGTGGTACTTTTAGAGAAGTTTTGCGTACAGCTCCCCAATCCGGGCCACCTCGTAGAGCACGTCACGGAGTCACGACAAGTGTTGCGCATCCCTTTTCAGATCCAATATACAATACATAACTATATTTCTGAAAACAATTCACAGCACTTATTATCAATATCATTATATGCTGCAGCGATGCGCTGCACTTACGGTATCTTATTAGCGCGGTAGTACTTACCCGCAGCGCTAAATTAAGAACAGGCCTAGGCATGAGGTCTCCGATTGGACCTTACAAGAAGCATCCCCGCTTGAGATTTAGCAAATTACGAAGTCCGTAATCTGTAAAAACGTGTGCAAACAGGACAAGTATCGC